TTGACAATAGGGTTCTCGTCAGATATACTGGTAGAATGCTTCTCCGTGATACCATCGGTATCCGCGGGTCCTGCGATAAGATAGCGTAGTATACGAGTGAGTGAACAACGTAAAGACAAAAAAACGAAGACAAAAATAAACAATCAATAGAACCATCCGACTTCGAATTGAAAACATAACACACCTGAATTGATCGGGCCTGAGAAATCAGGACTTTCAGCCACGGTTGGACATGTCACGGTATATCGGCCATCAGCAAGGCTGGTGAATTTGTATTCACCAGTATCAACATCCGTAAATTGAGTCACTTTTGTGAAAGTCGCGTCTACACTACCATCCGACATCAGCTTCTCCAATGAGCATTCTTGACCGGGTATAGGTGTATCGTCAGCACGTTCTACAGTAGATCCAGAAATGGCACCCAATTGTTTGTACAAGTAATCGATATTGATTATCTCCGGTACATCGGCTGTAATTGCGTGCTCAGATTCTTCATCAAGTCCGCCGTCCAAAGGATACTCCACTAGGGTTCCCATATTGCCAAGACCTGGGATTTCTGTTAATGGTGCTGTTGTGGGTGCAATTACCTTGTACTCGCCTCGCGGCAGGTTGGTGAACTCGTAAAAGCCAGTGTCATCAAGTGTGCGCGTCGTTCTCTCGAAGGATGGATCCGTGATGCCTACGAGTCGAACCAACAAATCTAGGATGGCTACTCTGGAAACCTTCTCCAGGGTGTGACCGGATAGCTTTCCTGGCAGAGTGAATACGAAATCACGATCATTGACGGGTACACTGTCTTCAATTACGGCGGGAAGGGATACGGTATAGCCCTCAACGAGTTCATATTCCTCTACGCCGAACTCCTTCTCTCTAACTACAACCGTGTAATTACCATCCGGCAGATTGGTGAAAATAAAAGAGCCAGATGGTGATCCATTAGCTCCCGTCACCTTCGTCTGGAGAAGGTCACCTTCCTCATTATAAAGTTCGACATATACATTATCCAACGGTGCACCAGAATCTGTCTTGGTCGTACCACTGATGGTAGAGGTCGGTGGTACAGTATAGCCGAAGTCATTGTTATGGCTGATTGGCGATTCTGGAGAGATTTCAACAGGTGTTCCGTTCAATGGCTCCTCGTCATCATCTGGTCCAAAAGAAATTTCTCTGTCATTTGAAACAGTCGTTGGACAGGTCACTGTGTAGTTTCCATATGGTACGTCAAGGAACTCGTATTCACCATCAGAATCAGTCGTCATGCCTCGAGTATATGCCAGATTATCAGGGTCTGTACCCTTGAGAACACAATCCGCACCGGGAATGGCAGAGTTGTCGCTCGTGTCGAACGTTTTCCCACTGACAGTGCCTAGAGGTAAATATTCGAATATTAGATCCCCAACGACACGATTCTCCGCATCAATCTCTGTCACTGTCGACTCTAGAACATCATCGTCCCGAACAGTCTCGTCAGGACCCTGACTGATGGTGTGGTTCTTGTCTAAATACGAAACAACGGTGGGACATGACACCATATATTGCTGATAGGTCAAATCTTTGAACTCAAATCGACCATCAGCTCCAGTGACGTAGGTTTCCTCTGAAGCATCCGCGCCACGCAGAGTGCAGGTCACGCCAGCGATGGGAGCTTTAGTAAACTCTTCCTGTGTTATACCTGTGATGACACCAAGTCTCAAGTATTCGGAATCCTGATTTACAACTGCACGGTTATCAGGGCCGATAGTGATGGTGGTCACTTCAAAGAGTTCATCATTAGGTCCATCAGGTCCCTGACTGATGGTACCGTTATCACCATCAGTGAACAAAGCTGTTGTAGGACATGTAAGATTGTACGTTCCATCACCAATGTTAAGGAACTCAAAGAATCCAGATGTGTCCGTCACTGCACCTAGAGGTCCGTCAAGCTCTGGACCAGTCAGGACACAAACAACGCCAGGGATGGCAACAAATTGATCACCAGGCAAGTCTTCGCTGATTGTACCGGAGATTGAACCCGGACGGGCGTATATGAAATCAACCTTAGTGACAGCTCGCACTTCCTCAGTAATCGCCTGTACAGAAACGAAGATATCAGTCTCGCCATTGTCCAGCGGACCCTTCACTGGTCCGTCAACAATAGGACCGACAGATCCCACAGTCTCGACTGCCACGACTTTGTACTCTCCGGTCGGCAAATCAACAAAAATGTACTTGCCAGATGAATTAGTAATATATTCCCTGTCGGGCTCAGAACCATCTAGGAACACAAGTTTAACGGTGACATCCGGGATCGGTACGCGATCGCTACCTTCTTCGTAAGTTCCGCCAGCAATCGTGCCAGGTGGGAGGTACACAAAATCGAGATCATCTCTAGTTGGGGTGTCTGGGCCTATTACAAAGGTAGTCTCGAACACATTGCCATCCTCAATAGGGATATCGTTAGGTCCTTCACTGACGTCTAGACCTTCTTCCTCAATTTCCTCGGGACAAGTCAAGGAGTACGTTCCGAAGACTAACCCATCGACCTCGAACAGACCATCCACTCCATTTTTAGGGTTAGAACTAACCTGCAGCTCGAAGCTCGCATCCCCTTCCTTTGTTAGTATACAAACTACATTGTTGATACCGTCGCTTCCTGGCTCCAAAATACCGTTTGTGATGGATCCCTTAATAGATCCATACGGCAAGTATTTGAAAGTCACATCTGTGACATTTCGAGTGTTATCGTCGATAGCAGCCACGTGGTCATATTTTTCGCCATTATTGTCGCTGGGCCCTACAGAATGTACACAATGCAATGGGATTAACAACATATCAAAAAATCAAACGATAATACAAACAATCAGAGAATAACCGATATTGATACCGCATCCCAGCATTCCATCAACTACTGACGCTAAAAAATACAGAAACACAACAAAACAAGGTTTAAGGACGAAGACATACCGGAACTAATTGGACCAACAGTTTCGGCTTCCTTGGGGCAAGTAACCTTGTAAATATCATCCTCTAATCCGCTGAATTGATAGAAGCCATCGATGTTCGTCGTTTGTACTTGTGCAGGGATGGATGGGTCGCTAGTACTTGTCAACGTGCAGTTCAGACCCGGGATGGGGATGTCGCCTTCCTCGGTTAGTGTGTAACCAGAGATCGATCCAGGCCCCTTGTACAGGAAGTCGACGTCGGTGATATTCAAATGGCCAACTTTGATCTCGTGGGTAGACTCTTCAGGCACATCGGAACCATTAGGGTCCGCAAACTCATCCGCTGGAAATGTCACGAGATCGCCAACGGAATTGATAGTCGTGGGGGCTATGACTCTGTACTGACCCTTGGGTAGGCCCGTGAACTCATAGTAGGCATTTTCATCCGTAGATGTTTGTTTCGTGAAACTCGGGTCTGTGATTCCTTCGAGTCTAATCAGTGTACCTGGAATGGTCACATTGCCGATCTTCTCTAACGTGTGCCCAGAAATGGAACCAGGCAACTTGAAAACAAAGTCTATGCCGCTCACTGGTACTCTGTCCGTTATAGTCGCCTCCAGAAGATCCTCTCCGACAATATCGTATTCGATTACGACACCATCGTTAGTTTGCACAATGACCTTGTAATCTCCGTCCGGCAAATCTCCGACGCTATAAGTACCATCCTCTTTCGTATATATCGAGACGACGGTTTGATTGTTCGAATCATACACAGATACAACGACTCCAAAAAGTTTTTCGCCATCCTCTGTCATAACAGTACCACTTATGGAAGAAAGAGGTGCGAATACAAAAGGCTCGATCGGATCAGCCATGGTGGAACTATCCAAAGTGAACGAATAAATGCCATCGATATCTTCACCATCAGACACAGGCTCAGTTACCAGATCCAAGGTAACGTCGGATGCGTTAACTGCAACTTCTGGGACTATAATCTGATAATCTCCGAACTCGACACACCCAAAGCTGTATTGGCCAATTTCATCGGTAGTGGTCTCGCCTACTGTAGTACCATTCACATCCACAATCTTGACAGGGACCATGGGGAAAACTTTTAAATTCTCCTCCACATGCCCAGGCAGCAACTGCTTCACTGAACCCTGCACATCCGCACATGGCGGAACTATGATATCATCCGTATCTTTCGTGTATACAAAATCAACGTTAGTCACATTTCCGGACAGGTTGGGCACAGTGGCGATACCATCTTGCGGCCCACCAGTAGGACTATCATAATCCATTATAATTGTTAAGTTTTGCTTACTAATTTCGCCAGTTGTGGGGTCCGTTGCGGTGATGACATACGTAACTCCCTCCTTCAAGTTCTTGAAACAATAAGTACCGTTAGTCTCGTCTACTTCAACCTCAAGCATGACAAGTGTATCAGTGCCTACTGATTCTAACTCAATGAGCATATCGGTAACAGGTGTGACACCATCGTCAAGGTGTGTACGGCCACAAATGTTACCCAATGAAACAACCCTCGGTTGATTGACGGTGACTGCCAAGCAGATTTTCTCGACGCGTGACACAACTACACATAGAGAGGTTTGGGCAGTTGAGTGTCGGTTGAGTGGCACCATCAGCAGCTCTAACGCGTTCTGATAGTATAAATCTTCCCTAAAGTGTGCTTTCATAACACCATCGTACGCCACCGCAGTTGGCTTCAAGGTACCCATGATACCACAATTCTCCATCTTCGTGAAGTCAAACCAATACTTGAGCTGACCGTGGCAATTAGCCTGAAGTGAGAACCTGTACTTATTGATAGCTTGAATACCACTCGATTTGTAATCGTTACTAAGTGTGCATTCACCATATTCGAAATCTTCTAACCATCTGTGATTGTGCCAAATACCGAAATCAGCCTCGAAGATCAGATCGTTGTCACCGATCTCGGGTTTCGTAATATCTACATTTGAGTCCACGTCTAGTGCAAGTGGCTCTTTCAATGCGCATTCAGAACTACCATCACCCTTAAACCTCAAATTTGAGAACTGAGCTTTGACATTCGGATTCGAGACGTAAAAGATAGTAGGGTCGCCTGACTTGTGAATTCCTACCGCCGCACCTGGGGCGGCTCGTATACTAATATTTGCTGTAAGTTCAATTGGACTCGATACGAGATACACTCCCGACTCTAAAGTCAACTCGTCACCTGAAATCCAATCTTTCAGTACAGTGTGCAGACTCGTACTTGGATTGATTGTTTGACTCGCACCACTAACATATGCTACTACCAGTGTGAATAACAGGACGCATCTCCACATATACGCCTGTCCTTGGCGTGTACCTGTCATGCCCATCATGGCACCGGCCACTATTCGCCTTATTAAAGAGTTTAGAAAGCTCTATGATGTGTTAAGTATCTAAGCAGCAACGCAAGTTGTATAAGCGAATTGTTCTAGGTCGACAGTAATGGGTGATCGACCTGTGTGCAACTTGCTAATCTAAGATGCGAAGCTCGTAAAATACAAAACCAGTATCGGTAAGTAATGTGTATTCTAAGTATATCGTGTTGTGTTAAAAAGTCAACGTAGTACAGCTACCTGACTCTTAGTATGTACGTACGGTATATTCAGTAAAGCTTGGGATGCGTGCAACCCTAAAGAACCTATACCTAATCTCAAAAGAAGGAAAGTGAGTCAAACAATATCGACCTTCACAATACAATACCAACGGTGAAAGTTCCTTTCTGTCGATTTTCTCTGTGCGCACTCTTTGCCCACGGGAAGCCTAACGAATGTAAAATTGTAAATACCTTGGAATGCCAGCCGTAGGCCTGGATAAGGAGCCTATTTTAAACATACACAGAGGGCGGTACTTGGCTGGTTTAAAAGCAGAGTAACATGGAACAATGTATCATTGTATCACATTCTTTTTCTTAGATGAAAACAAACATTAAAATCAACATTCTAAAGTTAATATCTTGTTTTCGATTTTAATTTATTTGGACGGTTTGATTGAAGGAAGTATATAAATAATATTAACAGCGCGTGTGGCTTATGTACTTTTACTTTTTGTTTTTGGAAACAAAACTAAATATAGGGGGAAATGGATTATGCGGAGTTTACGGTACATAAATGCGGATTTGCATGTGTTCGTTGTAAATACAAATACGTTACAATGTGTAACAAATAATTTATTGCATTTTAAAAAAAAACTATTTTTGTAAAAATTCTATTAAATCAATATCAAAATATGTATATGTGTAGAAACAAAACAAGTAAAAACTATACCTGATTTTTTTGAGAAAAACCTCACTGTGTAATAGATGTATATTTTTAAAATAGTTGTTAAAATATACTATACGGCGTCAATTTCAGTAAAGCTGAGCACGAAAAGATTGGTGTGATCGTAAACGGGGCAAGAGGTATTTTTAAAATAATGCTTAAGCAATTTCTCGAAGGTAAATGTGCTGACCACAAGGGGGTACAAACTACAACCGCACAAAGAATAGTAGTTGTCTGGCAGTTTGGCTTTTTTTCTAAAGAATCGGATACTTTTTTAATTGGGCTAAAAAAACATTACTCATAAACTTTAACTGAGAACAAATGGTTTCTGCGAAGTGTTATTTTTAAGAAAAATGGTTGTAGCATTCTCCCCGCAGACCAATCAATATCTTATATGAGTAGAATCGAATACCAATTCTGGCTTGAAATGACTCTTTTTAAACCTAAACTCCTTTGTGTATATTTTTAGTTTTTTACAAAACCGTGTGAATTTGACTTGCAACTTGCAAGAGTCATCAGTCAACTTTGCAAGCTCATGAATCATTTATATTGTATTTTTTTTACAAAATTAGAATAATGTTCTTAGGTCTCTGGCTGGGAGTCTGGGTATTTACTTTTTACAATTTATCTTTGTTTTTGTTTTTTCTAATAAAACCCGAATATCTATTTATAATATGTACGAGTGTATTCTGTCATCTGTACTGTACAGTAAAAATACAAAATAAAATTGTAAAATACAACATAGCCCTCTAAATTATACAATCACAACTTCTGAAAATTTTCTCTCTCCTCTTCTTCTTGTGGTTTTTCTGACTGACAATCCTCTCTACTAGTAGTAGACACTTGAAAATAGTCTGAAATGGACATTGTTGGATGTCGAAAACTCGAAAGCAGGTGGTGATGTGGTCACTAGTCAATGATCCCAATAACTGAAAATATGTGTATCTTTATAAAATATCTATTAATATTTACTAACTGAAAGGAGATTTGCGGAATATCTGCCATAGAATTCATTGTACGGTGTGGTGTTCGACTGTTCGCTTGTTCGGACGCCCGATTATCGATAGCCTATAGGTGTCGGTGTATCAATACTCGTTGACGGGATTCGGGAGGCTTTGTACTTGAAATAGTTGTTTTACTTTATTTTTTAAACCGACATCAAATAGCCGCATTTTAGCTGATTTGGCGACAGACGCGAGGTAGGCCGCTCGTCCATCCTACAGCTGTGTATTTAACACCCACCGAACCTAATAAAATGCATTTGTAAGCCAATTCATTTGAATTCCAAGCTTGGCAGCGATGATCTAGGTCACATAAACCTTGACAGTCTTGTGATTTTGACAGCATTATATTGTTTACGGGTAAACCCGATCTCCTTGATGAGTCTTCGTACCCTACTGATGCCGCTGTGTCGTTGTGCGTTATTTGAGTAGAACTCCCAGTCATCTGCAATTGCCTGTCGTGCATATAAAACATTCCATAAAACAATTTTTTTGTTAAATATGGTTCAAGTCGACGCAAATATCATCTGCAGAACGACTGCTCACGACAGACCAAACTAGGCTTTGAAGCGAAATATTCATACCAGATAGCCCCCATATTCACCGGAGTTCCCTTAGCTTGCAGAAACTCTTCGGCATACCTCAAGGAGATCTCCATTTGTATTCCCATCTTATGAAAGCTTATCGGTTGCCTTTGATTTTAGTATGAGGTCACGCAAATTAGTCATATCGCCCACTTTTAATGGGCTAATTCACTCGTGAGCCTTATCTTTAAGTACGTGCAGAAAAATACACTTACGTGCAAGCGTTACTTCCGGAGGTAATCGGTGCGTCTTTCATCAGCCAATTCATGTTTTCATCGGCTTGATCCACGTATCTTGATTGATGCTCTCGGGAGGGATAGAACTTTGCTGATGTATACAACTGCAGGCAGCGAGACACTCTCACATCCCCTAGCGGACAATCGTGCAATCTATATTATAAATTATATATAAGAACTAGGCTCAATCACATCATTGTTGCTATCGGTTGAAACGTAAGCAGAGACATAAAATCACTTGAGCGGCTTAAATACATACTCTGCAAGACATTCGTCATAAACTTCTAACAGCATCGCCATTGCCGCTCGAGAAAGTAAGATTCCGGCACCCCCATGTGCAAAAGGCATCTTAGTTCCAGCGATAACTTTGCATTCTGCCTTCTTTGACGTGAAAACGTGACTGGAATAAAGCAACCATTCATGACATAAGGCTCTCCTCGTTGTGATAAGTAACGAAGCTACCACAGTTCGCATTCAATGTAACAAACGCGTGCGTGCTGACCTACGTACACAGAAGAAAAAATAAAGTGCCTACCTCGAGCCAAACCAGGCCGCTTTCTCTGGGTCTATTGCTGTGACCTTGTCGATGAGATTGCCAACTGTATTGTCGTAATAAAATACTGAGTCAGTCGAATACCCTGAAAAGTGAAAGTCCAGGAATAAATAATGCGGAGTACAGTACCTAACAGACTTCACATACCAAAGATATAGGTATCATCATCGACCAGCATATAGAAAGGAGATAGAGGAAATGTCTCATACAGAAGCTTCAATCCTGGTAGATTCTTATGGGCATCTAGCTTCCAACCACTGGTTGCCTCTACCTTCGTGCTGCTTGAACGCGGTCGCACTAGCCCTCTTTTGGGCTTGAAGGGATCCGGCAGTAAATCCAAGACATCATGCATCTGTTCAATACCATTAATCACATCTATTTGTTTGGCGCCCATGTTATGTACAAATGAATTGGCAAGAAATATATGGTCATGTAGTAGCCTTCGAAATTTTTTAACTTACCATCCCCAAAACGTCTATCTCACTACATTCATGTAGGTTGTACATGAACCGCCTGTATAGTTCCTTATTAGATGTACTGGTCCAGAAGATATACCCTATCATTCCGGGGGCACTTTCAACCAGCGTAAGCGGGAGGCTACCTCAATGTCTTGGTTGGCATATTTACAGAAGGTGAAAACTGAACAGACACAGTAGACTGCCTGCAACCCACGAAGGCAAGAGTATAATACGTATATATATATATATTTC